ATTTTTTTAATTTCTTCTTTAGCAATCCTCTTCCTAGGTTTGGTATGTTGCATTTTACTTGGTGTTATTTTTTCTAGCTTTTAAATTTTCATTGCTATAAATTTTTCTATTGCCTTTGCTTTTGTAGGTTTCTGCCAATTATAGACTCCTTTGGTGTTATTTTCAGGGGGTTTCAGGAGGACATAGGAGTGCTTACTACTTCAACTTTAAGTGCAGACTTAGTTAAATTAAAGTTCACCAACAATAAAGCATTGTATTTAACCCTTAATAACACATACGGTCTTCTGTGCTGCGTTCTTTGTGTGTGTGTGTGTGTGTGTGTGTGTGTGTGTGTGTCTTGCATCCTTGAGTATGAAGGATAACATATTTTTCTTGGTTATAAGCAGAAGTGTGTTTATACTACTGAACAGCTGGTGTGATAGGAATTGACCAGTCCAAATGGGTGGTACCTTTATTGGTACACACTGGGCAGCATCACACTCAGAGGATGCAAGCAAAAGGAAGCCACCGGAAGCACAGACAAACACATCATGAACTGGAGCACTAGTTCTGCCATGAATTGTAGTTGCTTTCTTTTGCTTGACCCTGTGCCTTAGTATAAATGTTGGCCTTGACAGAGGGAAGTTTGTGCAGAATAAAGAGATGGCTGAATCTTGGAGAAGAGATGAATTTCAGCTGGGTGGGGTTGATAAACAACAAATAAGTACAGAACAGAAATCAGTAACTGATGTGGCTGGTAAGGCACCCTTTTCTCATGCAGTTTCCCCCTATCACTTCTCAGCTTATGATAGAAGCTAACAAGTGAAGAAAAGACATACTCTTTTAAGAAACCTGCTCATTGTGACTTAGGACTCAGATACACATCCTGGCAATGTTTTCCTTTTTCCAGTTTAAAAGGAAATAGGACATTAATTCAGAATAAGTAAGGAAAAATAAGAGGAAGCTTAGGACTTGTCAGTGTTTATGAATGACGACTATTTGGTGACAATGTTTTCCTTGTTATTCCATCAATGGTCAGGTTGGATTAACACACAAGCGTTTCCTAATTTGTACTAGAAAAACAGATGTTTTCTCACTTTAGGAGCTTGAAATTTTAACATGCAAAGAGTTCACAGACTCACAAACTATTAATAGTACATATGGTAATCTAGAACAACCAAATAGCCTCAGTTGATGAGGAAATTCTCTATTTCATATAAATAACACCATAAGTTACAGAACAATTCCAAATAATACATTTGGAATAAAAAAGTTTTAAAAATCACCACTTGCCACCTCTCATGAAAATAATTGCTTCAAATAAAGATCATTAACAGACATCAAAACTCTTAGTTGGAAGAGAATGAGAACTGGGTGTTCACATGGTGCCAAAGTCTTGTACAAGAATGTGTAATACCTGCTAGAAGATGTTTGCTTTCCAATGGGAAACGCCCAGGAAGGTACTTGCTGGTGCTGAGCCCACCAGCGCAGGGAGTGAGATGGCCTTTCACTCCAAAATAGGTAAGAGTTTCAAAAGAGTTAATGTTCTTCCCAACATGCCCCAGTTGTCCGGAATGAAGATCAGTTTCAGTAATTTATGTTACAATTGCAGAAGTACTGAGAATACTCAGATGTTTAGTTGTTAGCTGGGTCCCTAGCCCCAGCTGTCTTCTAAAATCACCTCCTCTACATGAGTAATTTGAGGTTGCTCTTTTTCATTTCCTCCAGCTCTTCTCCTCTTCCCTCTCTCCCTTCTATCCTATTCTACTTCCCTTATTTTTTCTCTTTCCCTCCTTCCTTTCCATTCTTTTATGTTTCCTTCATTACTAGTCTTTTTAGCAATTCTTCCTTAAAACAACAGAATTGTTCTCTCCATTCAGGCAGAGATAGAGTGACAGATAAAATTCAGGGTTGTTTCCTGCAAGCCTAATTGTTCTTAAAATATAGCTGTTAAAAAAAAAATATATATATATATATATATATATATATACAGCTCTTGCTGAAGCAGTATGTTTATCTTCACATCCCATTCCTCTGTTTCTGTTGCCACATCAGGGAGCTGGACTGTGCCATGTTACGCCGACTAGAGAAGAGGATCCTGGTTGATCTCCCCAGTCACGAAGCCAGGCAGGCCATGATCCACCACTGGCTGCCACCTGTGAGCAAAAGCAGAGCCCTGGAGCTTCGCACAGAGCTCGAGTACAGCGTGCTGAGCCAGGTGGGCTTTCTTGGAGACACTCAAGGGCCAGGAATCTAACGTATAGTAGTCCTGAGATAGTTTTGAAAGGGGCTGCTTCCTTGAGATACTTAGAAAAGATCCCATGTGGGGCTGGGGAGATAGCTCAGTGGTTTAAGTGCCTGCCTGACAAACAGAAGGACCCGAGTTCGATCCCTGGAACCACATGGCAGGAACCCCGGGTGTGCTGTGCAGGTCTGGAAACTGGATGTGGTGACATATGCCTGTAATCCCAACACCAGGGAGGATCACTGTGAGTCTGAGCTGCATAGTGGGATTCTCTATCCAATAAAAAAGACGATCCCATGCTTCCCTAGCAAAGCAGCAGGCCTCTTCATGGAAGAAAGAGCTCCTTTCTGATCACTTGGGAACTTTCAGGCAGCGACAATGGAAGCTGGAGGAAACAGCATGAAATCTAGATTCAGAGAACCTATGGTCAAATGTTAGCCAGTTAATCTCCTGCTAATGAGCTGTGTGAGCCTCACGTTCCCCATGTGTGAAGGGGGTAGTTGATTAAGCTCTAGGTGCACGCCTCTTTAACCCCATTATCATTGTAGACATATTACTTGCTTTGGGAGTATACTTGCACGTGGTGTTCTCTGAATTTCTTCAGTGGTAGAAATGATCTTATTTACAAGAACAAAAAACTCTCTCAAATTTGTTTGGCCTTGGGTACAGGCCTCAATAGTTTAACCTGGATAGTTCCTTCCTCCACCAGCTTTTTATGATGTATTCAGATGGTGTTAGGAAATTATTGCCCTGACATCTAGTTATCCAGACTTGTTAGCAGCATTTTCTCTGGCTTTACTTGTCTGGAGGTTTTCTCGTAGTGTCTGTACATGACACAGAATCTAAATGCTGTTCTGAGAACACACTGGCTACCAGCATTCTGCTTGTTGATCAATGGCTGGGTTTGTGGCTATTTCAGGAGACGGAGGGCTACTCAGGCTCAGACATTAAGTTGGTCTGCAGGGAAGCAGCCATGCGACCTATGAGGAAGATCTTCAGTGCACTTGAAAATCACCAGGCAGGTATGCTTGGGATCCTGGTGAAGATACTCCGGAAGACAAATGTGTTAGCAATCCAACTCTCACCAGCAGATGGAGCCTGGCGCCTGTTTTTGGTGGCCTTTTATACATAGCATATTTGTCCTTTGAATCATCCCTCTTGCACTCAGCTCACTCTTCCTATGGTGTCATTTCAGACTGACTTTGTCCACAGATAATAAACTCCTTAGGGCCTGAGCTTTTATTTCTCTGGAACACACTGATGTTGGGTTGGATCCATGTGAAGCACTATATAAATATTAAATAACATTTGGATAACAATACATTTAAGTCACTTGAGGGGGTGTTCTGGGCTTCAGGGGCTAAATCAGTTGCACATTAAAGAACTTTTTCCACAGCTCTCTTTAGCCTTGCCTTGTGCTGCATTAACAATTAAGAATGCTGCATTATGTATTGTCTTGAAAGAAGGTCTATTAGCCTTTCAAGAGCATTGATCACAACGGGGTTGACTGTTACTATTGTGTTTTTATCCAGAGAGCAGCCACTTACCTGGGATCCAGTTGGATACAGTGACCACGGCTGACTTTTTGGATGTTCTAGCCCACACCAAGCCTTCAGCAAAGAATCTGACTCAGAGATACTCAGCCTGGCAGAGAGAATTCGAGTCTGTTTGAAATCACATTTACTCTGACCTGGCCACTAAGTCAACTACAGAGGTGTCCTCAGTTAATAGTACAGATGGGAAAACATCATGATTGGAACAGAAAAGAGAAAATGATTTCAAAACAGGGGAGTAACTTGGACAATTTTATTTTGTGGAAATAGAGGCTATTTTTATTAATTTTTCATCACAGATGTCAGCAAAATATTGGTGATTTCAGTTAATTTATATGTACTATTACACCAAGCCATGGCTATTTGTCTAACCATTAAGACTCTACAAAATTTTGATGAACAATTTCCTATAGCTTCATTTGTAAACTGGTATCTTCACTCTAAATAAATTTTTTTTTTACAGGTCTAGTCTTGTATTTTTTCATTCAACTCATTCTCCAATCTGTCTGATACCCATCAGTATAGTATGCTTTTCTAAATGGCTACACATAACAGATAAATTTTCAATTCACTCTCTACTTCCTGTGGTCCTGGTGTTCTAAGGAAAAAAGGACCAGAAGACCACCATAGAGTAAGTTGATTACACTGAATTCTTAATTTGAGTTCACATCTTACCCTGGTCTATTGCCATATCTATTGTCCTCAAAACTTTTAACTCAAAACCATGGTTCTGTTTTCTGGAGAATAGTAGAAAGCCTCCATTTTCCTGCCTTGACTAGAAGTAGTTATCTGGTTTCTCAGTAGGGGATGGTTTCTAAGACTTCCATGATTCTATTTACCAACTTTTAACCAATTCCTTACTTTTCAACTCTGCCTCATACCTCTCTTCCACTCCACCTTATGTCTAAGACTTATCTTTGAGGTCATTCTACAGGGTAAAATTTGGTTGTAATTTTTTTTTTTTTTAATGATGAGTTTAGTTCTCAACAGTCCATTTACTTTCCATCTTCCCAATTATCTTCTTGTCCACAATGTCTGCTGTAAAATCCTCTTCTTGGTTGGTCTTGTGCATTTCAAACTTCGTTTTTTTTTTTTTTTTTTTCTTATTTGGAGAAGGATCAACTAACATCATTAATTTATCACAAAGTATCTATTTTTTTTTTCAAGTACATCTAAATTCATATAGGAGGTTGGTAAGTAGTTTAATGAAAACTTAACCCAACATGAGGTATCTTCTTCTAGAGCAGAGGTTAGAATTAAAAGGCCTAGGGGCTGGGGAGATAGCTCAGCAGAGTAAGTGCTTGCCTGGCAAGTGCAAGGTACTGAATTCCACCCAGTACAAAAACAAAACAAAACATAAAACAACAACAGAACACCTCAAAGGCCTATACAACAAGAAACTTGAGCGGAATGAGTAAAGCTGGCTGTAGGAAAAGGCACAGGTGGGGACAGGGTGAAATGCTGAGGGGCAGTTATTCTCTGAAGGGCACATCAGGGATCAGCCTCAGATGAAAGGAAGTGGACCCAACACTGTCAGCATTTCTAATCTTTCTACAAAACCAGGAACTGATTTGCATTTAAACTCCTGCTTCTCAAATGTTGGCAATTAAGCTTAGCCACAGCCTACTGAAATCACATGACTTGTTCCCACCCTTCACTTAGATCACCATGATGGATCATACTTATGTCAGATAACCCCAATCTTCACTTTGACTTTTTCATCATTTGTAAATTTCTCTGCTTTTATTAGGTGGCATCTATGTGTATGTGCTTTACTGTCTCCAAATTGAGCTCCATTGCTAAGGTAATTTATCTCACTGCTATTAAATGGAGCATTGTTTAAGGTGGCACAGGCCAAAATCTACCTGAATCATGTATCTGCTTCGCAAGTTGTGACAACTGTTCCTAAGCACTTGGCTCACTGCGCATGATCTCTTCCATTAGGGGACTTACACAACCAAAAAGTGGAACTTCTCAGGACCCCTTCTTCTGTTAGATATACTTTTATATGCTTCAGCCACTCAACTAGAAGATACACATCACAGGAGCCAGAGCTGTGTCTGCTTGCTGTCTTCTCATGCTTACCCACAGAATTTTTCTTTTCTTTTTTTTTACATTTTTATTGTGTGTGTGTGTGTGTGCGTGCGTGCGTGCGTGCGTGTGTGTGTGTGGCCAGCTCAGCCCACCAGGGGGCGCGGCTGGCTGGCATGTGGTGCTGGGGGATTGAACCGCGGTCCCTGTGCTTTTCCAAGCTTGTTCCAAATAGGTGCTTTAGACCACTGAGCCATCTCTCCAGCCCTTACCCACAGAATTTCATAGTACTAGATTTTCTCAGGCACACCAGCTGGTAAAACAATCTGTATAGATGTGAATGACATGAAGAAAGGTATCCAACGTTACTTGAGAGCTGCGTAGTTTATATTATGATGAATGATTTCTGGTGCTTTGGTGCCTCATTACTGCCCCATAAAGACGGCAACATACTCCTGGCTAGTAGGCCTTGATGACTGGTAAAATTAAAGAAGTCAACAAAGGCCTTGTGTGTTTATGCAGACGAAAGGCCTTTGTGACTTATGCCAAATAAATGTGATAATGCAAACATGGTCCTATGAAAACTGCTAATCAAAAAGGGATTCTACCACTTGAAGCAGAGTGTTTTCATGAAATAGATGAATTCAGTTTTAAGAATTCCTTATTATAGGTGCCCAAGGACTTTAGTGTCATCGCATAGTAACCACTGATACAAAACCAACTGACCACAACAACTGTAGGTGTTCTTGACTTCCATGCCTGACATGCTGTTCCATTTTTTAAATGTGGGATTCAGGGTGAACTAACAACCTAATTATTTCAAAGGCATATCTGACAGCACAGCTACAAGTTGGGACAACTACCAATCGAAATGAAGTGTTCCCCTTTTTCTTGCCATTACAATCAGCTCGGACGAATGTAGCAAGAGAGGAGCTAGAGCCATGCAAGCCTGTGGCTAACTGCAGGTGCCAGTGAAGCAGGCAGGTCCACCTGTCCTCCAACTGGCTCTGCGCCCTGCCTACCGTGCAGGGGCTGGCTCACAGTACATGCTCCTCACCCACAAGTGACAGCAGATACCCTCAGAGCCTTTGCGGTTATATAGTGTCACACAGTTTAGCACAGGATTACACTAAAAGATGCAAACCTTAATGATAGCCTTTTAAGGGGGATGGCTGGAGAAGGAAGCCCTTTAGATACTTCAACTACTACGTTTCCTTCCTGAGGCCCAACAGCCTAACCAGCAAGATTAAAATTTACTGGAGTGTTCAGATCAGTTCTGAGCTAAGGTTTTGCTATTCTTATGGACCTCTCTGTGGACAGGTCAGTGAGGAAGCTCTAATATTTGTTAAATAAATACCTGAAGCTAAGATTTCTATGGCCCACATGGATGCTTTAGAATGGAGTAAAGGAGAGATGCCATTTCTTCTGCTGGGCGCATTTGCTCAGGAAGTCTCGTTAATTTCTGTGACTGTGTTTCCTTGCTGACCCATCATAATGCCCATGTCCATGCTTTGGCTCTTGCTACACCATCACATTTATTATTTTCAAGTGTCTAACAGGGTCTCCCCTATGTTGCCTTTTAAGGTAACAAGTACAAGTCAATCCCCCCTCTACTCATAGCTATGCCTTTTTGTTGGTTCAGTAATAGCTTGAGTGCTTATTTGTGTTGCAGGGGATTTAAAGAAAAAAAAGGTGAGACTCATCCCCATCCAAGTAGGGAGGAGATATGTGAAACCTTAGTGCAGTATGACAAAGGGAACAAAGAGGCAGCACCTTAGCCCACCTTGCAGGCAGGTAAGATAGAGGAGAGGACAGGGAACCTGGATCTTCTTACTGTTCTTGAGTAATATCTTACATATTCACTTTAGTTACCCAACTAGAAAGGATCCGGAGGCAAAATCTTTTCTTATAAGCACTGCAAATGTTTGCTGGTTCCTGGACAAGAAATCACTGGTGCCAGCACCAGCACCAGCACAGGCCAAAGCTGATGGTGGTTTGCCTCCCAGGCACCACTTTCTCCCTGCTTGCTTAGCTTCTCTCTGCATGCAGCTTTACCCTGAAACTCTAACTCTCTAGTAATCCTCAGGAAGAATTTCTCCACTAATATAGCCCTTTTCAGGTTGTGAAACACGGACAGTCCTGTTAAACCAATGCAGCATCACAGTAAACGGTACTTACTGCCCCGGTCTAGCTGAAGTACTTAATATGTGGCTGATTCAAAGTGACCTTGGGTGATGGGCACTCTAGAAAGTATAGCTGACTTGCTCAGGGTGCGATGTAGGTTCACGCTGATCAGGTTCCAGAAGCTTTGCTGTGAGCCACGCCACTCATCCTGTGGGGTGGGCTGGGGATCATATCACATCTGTCTTTTATATTCTAGGATGTGTAAGGACTAAGTTGAGACATTTGCAAAAGCCGGGGTAAAATACCATTTATTTAGCTTTGCTCCCTCCCATCCAAGACCAAGCTGATCTCTAAACAAGCATCAAAACCCAAAGCTCATTAACATCAGCATGTGCTTCAATAAGGTGAACACTACAATGATGTACAATTACATTCTAATAATTCAATGCCCAAGAGTCCTGTAAGACAATTGTGAAGGCCCAGGATTATCACAGTATGCAAATGCGCTAGGAAAATCATTACCTATTTAGTCCCCTTCATTTGGGTGGGTTTAACATGAGAAGAATAATCCATGCTAGAAGACGAGATTTCATTTTACAGCTGTACTAACCAAGTACATAAAAGGCTGAATCTGTCCCAATAGCTTCTAAAAGATTTTTCCCATAGTGTCAGAGGCAAAAATAATGAAATCTTGCAAATGTACAGTTAATAGGACCCTAGTGGACACTAACTTCAAAAATGCCTGGTCTATAAGACATTAAAGGCTTGATTTTAGTTTCTGCACTGTTCCTGTTAATAACAATGTCTAATTAAAACATCTGTAAAATACTGATAGTTTTAATTTTACATAAAATTTCCAAAACAACTGTTACACAGTATAATAGGTATCTGCAATGAATAGGTTATTAATGGAAATATTATTTTAAATTAAAATCAGGTTCTAAATTTAAATTAGTCATCTCTTGCTAATGAAGAGAAAAAGAAGTCACCCGTGCTGGGAATACAGTTGAAAATCGACATCTGTGGAAGCAGATTCACCGGATCACTTGGTCTGGAGAACAATTCGTTTGCTGCTTTCTGCCTTGTATTCCACTTGGCACTTCTGCTGGGCTTCGCAACTGAACTCAACATTGAAACATCAGCCTAATGCACCTTTCATCACATCACTTTGTAATTTAAAAGCCACCACTCAACTTTATTCACAGTCTGAATCCCCCTCCTGGTTTTCAGCTAGGAGACAGAAGAGACTGCTATTCCCCACAGGAGCGTCTCCCTCCCAGCCCTGCGAACCTGATGAATATTTTAAGAGGAATGGCACAAAATCTCGGCTTTCTCTTTCTTTGGGTCCCATCTTCTTTTACAAAGCAAAACAAAAGGGATTAGCAAAGCTTAGTGGCTGGCTGCAGTTCAATACTGTTCTCATTAATGCACAATAAAAGAGGGTTAACACGCCATCAGGCTGAACGCTGTGCGTCTACCGTGCTGCGCCGGGATGGGCAGGAGCCACAGCAGGCAGCAAGTGTGTGGATCAGGTTCCGTGGCATCCACACCACGGCTCACAGCAGGTGCTGCAGAATGTGGTCCACAGCATGAGGGAAGCTCTCACAGGTCAGGTAGGGAGATGGGTTAATTTTTTCTTCATCTGCTGCTCTGTATTTCCCTGAAATGAAGGAGAAGCCAGTGAACAAAGACTGTTGCTAGAATGTGAACTTAGCCACACCCCTGGGCACCAGGGTCAGCTGGGGATGCCCTTACAATTATCGCCAGTGGATCAGGCACTCTGCATTTCCTAAAGCATTTTCTACTGAAGCCTAGAATCCAGGGAGGCAATCCCAAGAAATGTCACACTGAGCACTTTCCCTGGCCCTCTGGTCTTCCACACGAATCAGGTAGGAGGACACCTGACAGTAAAGAAAGGTTTCTTTCAAGTCAAAGCTGATGAAATCATTTTCTCCCGTCACCCCTGGCCCTGAAGTTAGGAATAGTGATTAAATCAATGCTTTTAAATGGAAGCTCAGACCCCAGAGGGCACAGGCCTCCTCAGCTCCTGAGGGTGACTGGAAATAGCACATGCTGCTGCCAAGCAGGGACCCTGGGAGCCTGGCAGATGAGAGTGCCAGGGGCCGGAGGGAGCGACAGGAGTGATGGATGCACACAGGTCTGGGACCTGGCAGGACAGGCCACACAGCAGGCACCAAGTGGCAGGCACACTGCCTGCTTCTCCTGACTCTAGAATTTCAGACTGCCTGCTGTTCTCAGGCCTGGCACACAACTGAACACCCCAGCCTGCTTCACGTAGTAGTCAGGAGAGCTGTTACAAATGTGTCAGGTGGCACAGTCCCAGTTTAAGCATGCTTAATGGGCCCAAGTGTTCTTCAGAGTGAATCCTATTATTTTCTCCCAGGACCTTGTCCTTTGTTCTGTAACATTTCTAACCATTTGTAACCATTTATTTAATATCTGTCTCATCTCTCATACCTAAGCAGACTATAAACTCTACAAGAGCAGGAACAAAGTTTATTATATGCCTCCATGAATCCCCAGCACCTAACACGGTGACATATATTTCCTAAGTGTATTTTCAGAGTGAACAGAATGCGCTGGGTGCCATGGGACAGGTCTGTGTTAAAGTCTGCGTCCCCCAAAGCCTCACGTAGTCCTAAGTGAGGATTTTTTAAGAGCTGGCTATGTCTAGAGTATGTGACGCTGCAACTGAAGATGCGTGATTACTAAACCAGCCTGCTGACTGGCGTGGCACAGCTAATCCCAGTAGTGCAGGCCTAATACGTAAGGGACAGAAAGACGCTTACCCCGCTTCTCGCCTGCTTTGCCACCTTCTGCCCATCATACACTGTTTCCTCTGCCATGTGTATCTGCCACGCCACTCTGCCTGGGAGCAGGCCAGCTACAGACTGAAGCTTGTA